CAGAAGCGTGTTGCGGGTTTTCGTTTCTGCTGCTTAAGGTTAGTTTGATTACCATGTTTGTCCGTCTCTTTCACTGTCTTCTTCTTTCAAAGTCTTTTTAACTCTAAATTTGTCTGTTGCAGTAACCTCGCAAATGATGCATTTCTGGCCGACACTCCTCCTTATGGAGAAGATGATGAGATCTTTGCCGACATGGATATGTGATCTCTGTATCCTCATGCTGAGCTGCACAGTTTGTAGAAAAATCTGTATATCATCGATGTTTAGATGTTATGCTCTCTAGTCTCTCTCTAGGCTTGTGAATACAAGTCCAAGGTTAAGCTCTTCGCTTTCCTTTATCTGTGTAGTTAACCTAAGTATACTCTTTACCCTGTCATGTGCAATAAGCTTATCAGATTTTGCTGCTGTTGTAACCTAATGTCCCTAAATGAAGAGACAAAATGTTGAGGTTTGTGTTTATGTATGTTCTCGTCTCCTTTCATTCACCAATGGTCACCGCAAGAGCAAACTCCTGCGTGAAAATGATGGAAACGGTTCATATCTCGGATAACAAGATCTCGCTGCACGATACTTGATATCACTTTCATAGCACTGTGACAATCCGAGCATATCCGTAGATTCTTGATGATCAGTATGCGATTTCTTGATGAGGGATTTCGAACAAGCCCAAAAGCCAAAGCCAACCTCTCGCTGTGAACCCACAATCTCTTATCTTTGTCTTCATCGTCCATATCGTGCAGGACCGCATGACGATCAGGAACATAACCGGCTCGCTTTGCTTTCATGTTTAGCCATTCAAGCATTCCATTTATTAGCTTCATATCCGGATGGTGTAATAACCTCCCCACACTGAAGTAATTCACATCTCCTTGATGTTCTATCCAGCTTAAACCAGGCTCCTTCTTTACACCATTCTCCTTCATGCTTCTCCTAACGAACGCAACGTTTGCCCATTGTTTTGCACCTGCGTACATGTTCGATAATAGAACATAGGTCGCCTCGTCCTTTGGATTGATCTTTAGTATTTCTTCTGCCGATCTCCTTGCAAACCCTACATTGTTCTGTGAAATTGAGGCACTAAGCATCGCCCGCCAGATCATAACGCTGGGCTCATATGGAATCCCTTCAATGAGCTTCATTGCCTTCTCAAGCTGCCCTGATCTTCCCCAAAGCCTGACCATACACGTGTAATGTTCCATACATGGTTCAATATGATGATCTCGATTCATCGACTCAAAACAATCTTGACCTTCATCTACTAATCCTGCATTGCTGCATCCGGAAAGAACACCAAGAAATGTTAACCCATTTGGCCTGCAATCGCTATGCTTCATAATGTCGAAGATTCTCAATGCCTCTCTACACAGTCCATGTGTGGAATACCCTGAGATCAACGCATTCCACGAAGGCAAGTCTTTGGTGTCCATGTCGTCGAACACAGATTGTGCGAGTTTGATATCACCACATTTTGCATACATATCTATCAACGAGTTGCTCACTGCAACTTTCTCGGCATTATTGGTTTTTATCGCCATCCCATGAACTTGGGCGCCGAGTACCATGCTTGCCAAAGAAGCACAAGCTCCAATAGCACTCGAGCAAGTTACTTCAGTTACCGACACCTGATCTCTGAGCGCCTCACGAAACATGCTCAACGCTTCTCCTCCCTCACCTAGATTCGCATACCCGACAATGATAGTGTTCCAGCTTACCTCATTTCTACTTGATAACTCACCAAATAACTTCAAAGCGGTATCCATTTCCTCGCATTTGGCGTATACGTCGATAAGAGCATTTGAGACATATACTTCCAAATCAAAGCCAGCTTTCACCACAAGGCCATGAATCTGCTTGCCTAACCCATAACACTTTCCGACGGCACACGCATTCAAAATACTGGTAAAAGTGAACTCGTTAGGACCAACGAACGCTTGTCTCATCCGAATAAACATCTCAACCGCATCGTCGCAAAAACCGTTTTGACCGAAACGAGCAATCATAAAACTCCAAGGTATCACATCATCCTTTGGCACCTCCCTGAATACCTTGAGAGCATCAGACATGTCTCCGAGTTGCGTATACAGCTGAAGCAAACCAACACCCACACGAGGATCCAACTCGTAACATGTTTTCAGGATTCGTGCATGAACACCCTTGGCGAAATCAAACGCGCCTAGCCCAATGCTAGCCTTAAGCGCTGCAGCAAAGGTGTAGTTGTTAGGCATGAAACCAGCCATCTCCATACGAGATAGCAGCTCAAGAGAATCCTCGAAATACCCATTCTCCAGATAGCAAGATACAATCCCAGTCCAAATAACAATGTCCTTGCACGAAACCCCCTCAAAAACCCTTCTTGCGCTATCAATAAAACCGCAGACGGAGTAAGCATTGATGAGCACAGCTCCAACAAAAGCATTTGAGTTATAACCGAGCTTAACTATAGGTGAATGCAACCACCAAGCAATCTCAGCTTTTTCCACACTGACGAACCACTTCAAGAAGGAAGTGAACACGTGTGGATTAAGCTCATGACCCTCTCGATGCAACCTGGTGTACAGACCAAGGGGATCTTCACACGCGTTCCCTTGACTGAGAGTAACATAAGAGACGTTGTTTCTCTCAGGCATTTCGTCGAACAGCTTCAACGCATCTGTCGCGAACCCAGCTTTGACGTAGGCGTCGAGTAGAATGTTTGAAGCGAAGAGGTCCAAGCAGCTGCCTCTCTTGACGACGTCGCAGTGTATAGCCTTTGCTGAATTTGGGTCGTTTAGCTGAATGCAGCGACGGAGCACTGTGCCGTAAGTTCGAGAGTCGAAGCCTGAGGATACCGAATCCGACCATTGCAATGCCGATTCGGCGGTTTGAACAGAGAACCCACATTGTCGAATGCGTTTACATTGAATAAAACTTCGACTCTCTGCAGATTTGACAATTCTAAGGAACCCGATCATGCGGATTTCGAGCTTCGTCGAACTCCACCGCGTCTTTACCTCCGTTGGGTTTAAACAAGCGAATGAAAACAAATTGTCTCTCCGATCACCGGATTAGTGGATCGAACCGGTCAGCCCACATTTTTTATTGAGGACAAGCCAAGCCCATATTATATGGGCCAGCCCAAAAGATGTCGTAAGGGTCATGTGGCCCGAGTTATCTGAATTCGATAGCTGAATCCAAACTAGGGTTTCTGTGAGTCTTTGACTATAAAATAAACCTTTAGTTATCTTATCTTGCAGACGCATCCCAATATCCCAGTTCTTTTTCTTTAGTGTTTAGATCTTCAGTCTCTTCTTTATACGTGTTTCTGTGTTTTAGATTTGGATGTAGATTAGAGTTTTTCTCGTATTTAATTTTGGTTGTGTCGTTTTTTTTTTCCTTCTTTTTCTTTGTGGAATCTGATACTTAAATTCTGATTGAAAATCGATTGAACGATTCGGAGCAGATGATGATTTTTTTGCACTTACAACGGTGCTTCCGATTAACCATGCGGATTATTAAAATCGAGCTTTTTAAAACTGATGCTCCGATTCTTCAATCTTTTTTTTTTTTGTTTTCGGTTTCAAAAACGTTTGCTAGATTTTTATCTTTCTTTTTCGGATAAAACCTCTCTGTTCAGCTTATCAATTTGCTTTCTAGCGATGTTAAGGATTTTCATGTTTATTCTGTAACTAGTTTTACTTTGAATCAATCACTCAGGTTTTGCAAAGTAATCATGACTGTCTGCAAGATTCATTTTTTGTCTGCTGATATTTGTTAGTTACATATATATATCGATGTATATGTTGTTTTGATGATTGATTTAACTATAAGTGTAGGAGGTGAATATCTCCGACTAAATTTTTTTTCCTATCTCGAATAAAATCATAACGACCGAAATCGTTTGCCTTGCGGAGAGAAATGTGGTCTTCACCTTTTTTGAAAATGATGATATATAATTCTAGTCCACCTTTGAACTGATTCAGCCCCTTACTGATTAATTTGGATTAATCAATGATTGCTACCTACAATAGTACCAAAAGAAAAGATTGAACATTCAAATGATATTTCAATTAATGATTGATGAATAGAGTTTTTGCCATCGACAGAATCAGAACAAATCTGTAACCGATGGTTGCATATTTGAATTTGACCCAATAGTTTGACCAAGTCGGGAGTGTTAAATGTACTTTGAAATGGTGCTGTATAATATCTAATTACGGGAACTCCACCTTTTCTCAAACCACTAAGCTAATCGTGTTTAGCATATTCATGGAACATATTATTTGCATTATGCGAAGTATTTATTTCATCAGACGATCGTCAGAAATCATGATAATATGTTTGAACACTGATGTTCAAATCATAAATTTTGGTTAACTCGTTCGAATATCAAATTAAACACAAATGAATATACAAAATAAACACATATAAATAATAGACGGTGTATTTTTTTCATATCAGTAGTAACTTGAGATATTTTGGTTTCATTAGTAAGGACACATTAAATGGTAGTGGAACGTATAACTATAGCAATTGCAATTGTTTCTTTAATCCGGACAAGCCATGATGTGCTAACGCTGGTGATGAAAACTACTATTCAATGAAAGTGGTTATTGGTAAATACAAGGCCACAAAGTAGGCTTTCTTTTTCTTTATCCTTCTTCCCAATTTAAAATTTTCCACCTAAATCGTGCTGAGCCCTGAGACTTGTAACATAAAAGACACAAATAGTTGGCAAGACTTGACCGTATATTATATTAACTAACATTCACTCACGTGTTACTTCAAACCAGTTTTTCTTATTATAAATAAGAGTATAACGACAAAATTAAACCTAACAAACAGATATAATCAAAGACGCAAAGTTATAAGATGGGTAATAGTCACATTTCTTTCAATACGCAAACGGAAGCTTCGTGAGAAGCCAAGAGCCAAGAGGCGTGTTCATTTTCTATTCCAAATACCAAAAATTCAACAACCTATAATAATAGCGCTTCATAAACGATATGCATCTCACTGTAAAAGAGCTTTTTTTGGTTGAATAAATTTGAGCATTACAACTACAACACAGTAGTATATAATAGCTTCTTGAATCAAAGTGTCATTTGACATTAGAGATACTGTAATAACCGTTTATAAGGGAGAAAAAAAAATACCAACATATTTATATAACAAAAGATTATATAATATTCTTAGACAGTAATGTGATATCCTAAAGCGTGTCGCGGTTCCAAAAGATTGGGAAGAAGCCAAATTGCAAAACGAACATCGATGTCTTTGGAATGCGAAATGACCAATTTGGTTTCATGTCCCAATCCAAAAACAGATAAGAGTTTCGTTTAGGCCGATGTCGGAAAGTAAGGAGATGTTGACACTAATCTGCATAGACGAAACAAAGAGAAAATTAAAAATTAGAAAACGCGTTTTAATACTGTGGTAAACTTATTGAGAACACGTCAGATCTTTCTTTCGGCCGTATGGTCCGATAAACAAACGTACAATTTTTTTTTTTTTTTTCAGTTTTTCCCCTCGTTTTCTCAACATTATAATTAATCGAATCATTTTGACAAACATCACTTGTCGGTAGCAAACAAAAATAGATATTTAAAGTCAACGCGTTTTTGAAGTTCTAACAATAAAAAACCTACGCGTTTTTTTTTATTATACGGATAACTCTACGAATCTCCAATACACTATCTACGTAGAACTAGAAGCACGTGCTTTGCTGCACAACCAGAGGCATCTAAAAGCATACGTAACTATTTTTTTCATGGGTTTTAATGGAATATTCATAAATAAACCAAACACAGAAAGAGGGAAAGAAAAACCTTTTTTTTTGTTTGTTATTGGGTAAAATCCTTGGATCGTAGAGGATAACAATTACCTCTCCTTGCGCTTCTCAAGAAACCTTTGAAGTGACTTTCTCCTTGCTATTGGAAGATCTGCGCGCGCGCACACACACACACAAAACCCACTTCTTTATCAGAAAACATATCTTTACACATTTAGTCCTAATTCGTAACGAACCCATCACAGCATTCGAAGAAACAAATGTTTAAGTTCGGTTTCAAACGAGTGGGTCGGATTGATTCTCTCTAACTTTGTTTTATGTTGCTGCTAACAAGAAATTCATTTTTTTTTAAAATCACTACATGCAAGAAGAATCAAGCAGTGTTTTGGTAATTAGATAATTTCTACTAACCTCCTTCTAGATTCTGGCCAAAGAGCTTTGGTCTAAGGGTAGTCGGAGGAATTACCGAGAGATCTTTCTCCATCGATTTGTCTTTCTTTGGTGCTGTTTCCATGGCGACCTTCAATATATCATTAGCCTTGTTAGGAGACACTTGGAAAACGGAGACGGTTCCATTGTAGAAGATTGTCATAGGAACGGTTCCAGAGACTTGTTCCGTACTAGGCCTGAGGAGAAATTTATTTTTCAAATTTTCAAATTTCAAATATTATTTTAGTTGCGCCAAAAAATCAAAAAAAAAAGAAAGAAAAAAAACCTGGTGAGAGGCGCGTGGACCGGAGAAATCGGGATCTGAGGATGAACTTCCTTCGGTGAAGACGGAACCGAAAGAGATCTTGTCGATGGATCGTAACGGTTACCACCAGATGCTAATAGCGATTTGATAATCTCCGGATCGATCTTCGAAATCGCACCTTGAATTTCTGCAATCAATAAATGGTTCAGGACAGATAAATTTAAAGAAATGAGAGAAAAAAAAAAGAGGAAAACGAACCTCGGAAACTGCGACGGCGATCGAGAAATTTCTTGAACTTAGGCTTTGGAGCGTTGTTGGTGTGCTTCTGCTCAAGTCCGAGGAAGTCGAGCTCTATCGTAGCTTTAGACATCTTCGATCGATGAGAGACTAGAGAAAGAGAGAGAGAGAGAGATGAAGGGGATGGGTGATTTTGAGATGAAGAGGCGCGAGAGGAAGAAGTAATGATAAAAAGGATTTCTCATGTGAGATTTTAAAAGAATTTTTAATGTGTATCCGTCAGATAAACGCACGAGGTTCATGCCTTCTCTTTCTTTTTTGGCACTAATGGGCAAACTCCAACTCATCCACTTTTTTGTTTCTTTTCCATTTCTTTTTTTTTTTTTTTGGTTTATTTTTATTAGGCTCCCCAACCTCTTCTTAACTAATACTTTAATGATTTAAACACATGCTAAAATAACCTAATAAAAAGAGAGAGAGAGAGAAAAAAAACTCACATGGAACTCCAATCCAAATAGTTAAATGTTTTTAACTTACTATAAAATATCTTCACGCAATAAAGAATTACTCTATTTTTAATTTTTATCATTCACCCGGAAATGACGGAACTCCAATCAAAAATATCTTTAAATTTGGTGACCATCTAAACATTTTTTGTGTTATTTAAACATTGTCACCTTGGGTTCTTCTGACATTGTATAGTTCAGGATCTGTATCGTTTTCGTACATGGTTTCCGAGATTTGGATTTATTTGTTTAAGTTCCGGTTTCTTTTTCTTTTTTTTCAATTATCAAAACTACTTTTTTAACCAAAAAATTATCAAAACTACTACTCATCTGTTTTTGCTATAATGTATGTATGTACTTCAACTAAGAATATTTTTTTTCATTATACAAGACCAGCAAATAGCATAATATAGCTCTTGTGACCATCCATACATTACACGGATTTTCTTATTAAGTTCAGTTGTTCACCTTAGGTTCCTCTGACATTGTACGTTCTCCAGTCTACTATAATATTTCAAAACATGTTTACAAAGAACTAAAAAAATTATTAATTAGAAAGACGACTATTTTTTCCCTTTATACTTTGAACTTGAAGTGTTCATTTGGTAACAGCAATGTCTTTGCATGTACTTCGACCACTCCAAAAGACCTGCAATGAAACAGCACCATATTTGCTTAAGCAGTTAATTTTTTGTTATTTACAATATTTGATCGATTTGTTTCTTACTAGAGTACAAGCATTTGAGTTTTTCCACAATAATGTTAATCATCGCTAATTAATTCTGAATATTGTGAATAACAAAAAAAAAAAATCTAACTTTTTGAATGATTTTTTGAATATAAGCTTTGGTCTGAGATTCCTGATTATCAAAAAGAAAAATTAATAACATCAAGTTCATAAAAATAAATCGAATGAAAAGAATAAGAAAAATAGAATGGGATGCATGTCTTTCACGTGTTGAGATGTAGTAGTAGTTAATGTCAAGACATCACTAGGCAAGGCGCACTTGTCCAGAAGTCTTGAGATTTTTCGTCGCTTTCTTTCTTTTTTTCTCACATTCTTATTTGACTCAGCCTCTCTCTCCCGTGATGCAGTTGATACGAATTCTTTATTTAAGTATTTTCTTATCTTTCATGAAGGGATTTATTTATTTCAATCATCTCACGTTTTGTCTGTGCTGGCGATTTTGATGTCGATGTATTTTTTTTACAAGCTGACCAACTCGCCCCTCTAATCTACCTTGCATATACCAACTTGCCTTCCTATCATCTTTTGTTGGTCATCAGTCTCGTCTGTATAAATTATATTAAAAACAAAAAAACAAATCTATTTGTTTCTAATCTCAACTTAGAAAACATGCCAATAGAATTTATAAATCTTGAAACGAAGTGTTGACGGAGCATCTAATATTGTCTTAGTTGGCAAGATTCATACCCTTTAACATGTTTACTACCTAACTTTCTAATAAAATCTAAGGCAATACAGATATTAAATTGAATTTTTATAATCTAAATCAAGATTAGATATTTCTTCTAACATATTAATTCACTTTAAATATCATACAGTATCTATTAATACCACTTAAATAGCATATAGAAATTCTTTGAAAAATTAAAAGAACTCTGAAATAACAATAAACCACTTTAGCTCAAGGTAAATTTGATTTGCAACATTTCGGCATCATCTCAAGTCTCCTGAAATCGAAAAAGGTAAAAACACTTATGAAAACTAGCTTGATAAAACATAACAAGAAAGCAATATAACTGAATGAATGAAATACTGTCTGGTTTAGTCATTGATACATCGAACCATGAATCAAGGTAAAAAGAAACTGCTAATGCTATCTTCTATAAAAACACCATCTTTTGATAGAATTTTGATAGTCGTTATATATCTATCACCGAGTGTATCTAGCATTATCAGTTTATCATCTAACCCAACAAAACTCTGTATTTTCATATATAGTAGCTAAACAAAGAAACTGCAACAAAAAAAAAAAGTACTTGTTAAAGTTGGTTCCAAACATTTCTATTTCCCAGTTTATAAAGCCACAGCTAAAAAAGCTTACAATAAACTTTTGAAAGCATCATCCATGGGCTGTTTTTCTAATCCTTGTTTTATTATTCACTTGCTAAAAATTAGCCAGGCTGATATATCCTGACGCTTATTTAAATTTATGTGTAACTTATAGGGAGAATCTAGAGTAATGGAGCTTCTTTGATGTGTTAATATATAAGTTCATGAAGCACTTTCACAGAAAGAGAATGAACGGCTGGATTTTTTTGTGTAGACTATTAACTGTTTAATCTTTAGTCACTGCTATTAAGAGAATTTTGTTTTTTGACAAACGCTTGCAATGGTGATATTACACATAGGGGAGACATTACACAATTCACATTAATTCGTTATGCCCACATATCACGACGTAATGTGAATTTCTTCAGATACAAAAAAAAAATCTTTATGGCAAATGAATAATCAATCTCTTGAATTACAAGTCTCTCATTGAATCACAAACTCGTGAACTATGTAACAGTGGATGAGAATACCTTTTCATTACTGTAAAAGTGGAGAAGAAGCTTTCTTTGGTTGTAACAATTGAAAAATGTAGTATTATTGAATAGTTAAAATTACAACAGAAAATTAAAGACAAATTCTGCCTTCACTGGGTGATGAAAAAAGATTCAAAAGTGCGAAAAAAACCAACAACTATAGTCGCGCACATAAACCCAAATCAACCCCAATTTTTTCAATCAATCACGACAAGCTTGTTATACTCTGCTCCGGATATAACAGCCTCCATGATCTTCATGGGATCGATCTCTCCATCATTATCCAGAAACATTTTGATCAAATTCTTGGAAAACCCACTCACCAACGCCACGCCTTTCTCACTTGCCGTCACCGGCGTTGACCTCGAATGCCTCAAATTCCAAAACACTATCTCCGGCACAACATCTCCGTACCCTTTCTTTCTGTACTTCCTCGCGATCGCCTGATAATCCGTTTCCCATCCCTTCGAAGAACCCGAGGCTTGGTCGAACTCCATGTCGCTGAACACGAACACCCTCTTGACCATCTCCTCCGGCTTCAGTCTCCCTTCAACCGCCACTCTCAGAATCACGTCGAACACTTTCTGAAAATTAGTGTTCGCTCCCCAATCCATTTTCCTCACGAACTCTGTCTTCGACCTAAGACTGTCTCCTTTCACCGACTGCAGTTTTGGCTCCTCGCTGAAAGTGATCAGCTTCCCTCTCCACGGGTCCTCCGATAGCTCAGAGACGAGCACACCCAGCGCGACGGAAACCTCCATGGGAGTACCGTTCATAGACCCGGAAACGTCGCTGATAGCTATGCAGTTCGTCAGCGAACCTTTCTTTCTCAGATCGTCCACCATTCGTGTCCATTGCAGCTCCGCGACCTGTCCACCGTCGCCGCCGTCTAAACCACCGATTATCTCGTGGGGCAGCAGAGCACCGGCGGCAATCTTCGTTTTCCCTGACTTCGCATCTTCAAGGTACTTCTCAAACCTCTCGCGGTCGTGGTCCAAGAAAATCTCCTTGTACGACTTCATCGCCACTGATGCTACACGATTGTACGGAAGAGACTCCCAGTTTCTCGCTCCCATATAAACCTCCGGGAGCTGCAACGTTCTCCGGAGAGGAACCAGGACCTCCTTCCGAAGCCGATCGCGAACTCTGTACGCATAGTGGGCTTCCTCGACGCCTTCGTACTCCGGGAAGGACTCACGGGGAAAGATTTTCCTGGCGATGCCCTCGCAGAGAAGAGTTATCTCGTCGAACGAAGAGTCTAGCGACGGACACCACTTAGCCGCCAGAGATATTTTGGTTGTTTCGCCGGACGCCAAGAACTCGAGATCTCTCCTCAGGTGATCTGCGAACAGATCGGAGACGCGTTCGTGGAGGAATCGGTAGTCTGGATCGTGAGAGTATCTGTTAAAGGCTTCCTTCCCTTTCGAAATCTTCTCCAGCTTCCGATCCATACTCGCTATTGCTTTCTCCGCCTTGTTCCTCATCTCTGCGTTCGCTATCCTCAGCACCCTCGTCGCCGCCGTCTTCTTTTTACGGCCACCCTGACTGGCCCCGAAAACTCCCACTCCACCTCTAGATCCTCCCCGGGAACCGGTACTTCTTTGCATCCTTTCCGATTTCTGGGTCATGCGGACCTCAGATCCTTGTAGAAGCCGGTAAAGAATCTCCGGAAAATCCTTAAAGTAGCCAAAATTCGAGAGGGACTCGAGGTTACAGGCTAGGGTTTTGGGATGGCGGCCATGGAGCCATAGCGCCGCCGTGTAAAAGCCTTCCTTGTCGGATTTGCCGGTACCACGGACTCCGCGAAGGTTGCATATAAGTTTGAGAGTGGTCAAGGCGTCGTGGTCCCACGCCGCTTGGAGTCGCTCCTCCAGAGATTTCTTGGGCGTGCTGGGAACAACGTGGAAAAAGAAGTCGAGGCAAGGATTACCTGCGGAGAGGTGCGTGGCGGATCCATTCTCGGTCCGGCCCATCGCAGGAGAAGAGAGGTGGTTGACTTTGATTGACTTGTTGAAGTTTGAGACCATTAGGTCCATGAATGGGTCGCCGGAGCCAGAGGCTGTGATGGGTGTTGGGAGGGGAGAGTTGGAGTCTTGGATCCCTGGTGGACCAAGCAACGGAGAAGTCATGTTTATTTAGAAGTGGTGATGATTGAGGTTCTCTGTTTCGTCTTTACTTATATAATGCAAAAACCCAAATTTTTTGACTTGGGGATAAAGTTATTGCGGAGGCGGTGATGCTTAGTGGTGGACCACAGTCGGTGGGCCAGAGATCCGTAATTTCCATGGCGGCGAAAAAATTGACAATTATAAACGTCGTATTTGCATTATAAAGCCTATAAGAATTTGGGCTTTTTAGTGCAAAATATTACCAAGTTAAAACCGGCCCATCCAAATAATGAGACGGGCCTGTCTCTAGCATCCCGTCCATCTCTCGTCGAGTATTTATGCCGCATGCGCTATTTTCCAAGAAAATCAAGAGGCCGAGGAAACTGGTAAAAGCATACTAAAACTAGAACGGGTTATTCAAGTGTGTATTGCAAACTATTTCAAAACGGAATCATCATCATACATAAGTGAAAAAGCAACTCTAATCAACACACAAATGAAGAGATTACTTACAAATGTCAAAACACATACAAAATTTACATAAACTGATGATTAACATACAGAGAACACCGGAAGCAGAAACTAAATCACAAAAAAAGCATACTGAAAAGATACAAAAACATTAAGCAATATATGCTCTAATTAGACACAGAGCTTTGTGCGGTTTGAGAATCCGAGACACTGGTCAAGAGATGATGCGTAGCCTTCTCGTAATTCACAAAGCCCATGAACCAGAAGTCATGTCCGTCCACCGTTGCCACCTGAATATACTTCTCCGGCGGATTCTCCTTCATCACCACCGGATTCACTGTCCCCACATTCCCCAACGGCACCACAACCTGCCCAAAACCATCAACATCAATTAAACATTATACACAAATTTATCTCACAATCTCCGATTTTCAATTTTTTTGACAAAACATGACTTTTACCCTGTAGTAGCTCCAAGCTTCTTGGCCGGAAGGCGCGGTGAAGAAGAGAGGCCGGTCGCTGCAGAAAGCGACGCGAGCAGTGGAGAGATACAGAGTCCCAGCGACGGGGCCCGTCGTCGTGGAGAGGTAACATGCGAAAGTCTTCTTCAGCTTCTCGCTCGGCTCCGTTCCGAAGATCTGCCTGAAAAGCGATTCGAATCCTCCCTTCGTTATCGCCTTCGCCGTCAAATTAACCTTTCCCCACGCGGTTTCCGGCATAGACGGACCCGTCTTCACTGTAGAAACAAAAATCGCGTCAAAATTCATCAAAATTGCTGGGTCCAAATTCATAAGAATTGGTCAAAATCGCTAGGATCCGATGCTCCAGTTATGTAGAATGAGAGACTTACGATTGTGCCAGAGGTTACGTGCGACGGTTTCGGCCTTGCGGCTCCATGTATGGAACATTCCGATGACGGGCTCGAGAGGGTTGTTAGTTGGGGGATGTTCGACGGGAGAGTAGATGATGTAGGGTTGGGACTGCCTCTGCTGGTTATCTCCGGCGACCCACGCCGCCGCCTGCTGATTATCGGGATGAGCTACAGGAGCCGCCGGAGCTCCCATCACGTGAGTCCCCCACTTCTTCGGATCCGGAGACGACGAAGAAGGTTGTTGCTGTTGGTCCTCTGTTTCAATGTTTTTGGGATGTTCTTGATCAACGATATGAGGCTGGTGAGCCTCTTCGGACTGGTGAGTCTCTTGTTCTTGCGATCCTTTCATGGCTGAGTTTGGCGGACGATTCGAGAATGTTCTTCTATTGGAAATGGGTTTTGTGCGTTGCGCTTTTAATTTTGATTATATTTATTTATTTAAAGCCAATCTGTACTCTAATTTATAAGAGTGGATAACACAAATACAATAAAACGCGGCTTTCATGTTGCCTTTGAGATGAAGAGTCGGACTTTCTAGACTGGATCTTTAAAAAAAAAACAATCCCTTACTTAACCAATAAGAAAAAAACACCAAACACAAGATTTTAGAAACATACTAGAAAGAAACCTTGCCACCGAGTCATTGATTACGTTATGTATTTGGGAATATATAAAAGAAATATCAATAGAGGAAAATATGAATAAAAGGGATTCTGAATTGTGTGACATGGACTCTCTCTTCCGATGGAAAACTGACAAAGGCCTAAATGGGACACGTGGTTCTTTTTGGTGTGACCGCTTGTTTGTTTCCGTCAAAGAATGGACATGTCACACGTGTGCAACCCTATGATAGATAACTAGAATGCATCAGAGAAGAGACACATTCCTCTGAATCATTCTCCTGCCACTACTTCTAATTTCCACATCAATCTTACGATTACTGTGTACATGATGAGATAATAAAATGATTAGCCAAATGAGATTCCTATGGCTATTGTTATGGTTATGAGATTGGCATTGAATTCATAGGCTGGTTTTACTCATCATGTGGTATTTTCGTCTTCTATTTTCAGTTTTCTCGACCGACAGAAGAACTGCAGAAGTAGAACAATCTGGCCCAACCCAATATTTTTACTAGTAGGCCTATTGAGCCCAATGTTAGCCTTCAATTAAGTGTGAGTCTTATCCTCTAGACGGATTCATTCAAATTTCTCAAGCCTGTTTTCGAGAACATTCAGAGTTCGGAGGAGAATCCTTCAAATTTAATCTCATTTGGACTTTCATTAAAAACTCCATCTTCTTCCGCGTAATTTTCCTGGAAAATCCCATTGGGAAAGGGATACCATAAAACTCTTTGAATCAGCTTCCATCTTTTCGCTACTTTCTGCTTCATCGTAATCGTTGACCGTTCAAATAAGGATGTCGAAAGAGGGACAAACGGTGATCGGAGTTCCGTATTACGCGGGACAGAACCCGTATCAGGCCGGAATTGTGCCGCCGAACGCTATCTACGGTGATCCGTTGGGTGCTCCGATCCAACAAACGATTTATCGGGACACTCCTGCTCCCTTCAATTGTCTCTATTGCGGCAATACTGGTCTCACCGATATCAGGTTAACATACGATTTTTTAGTGTTTCTGGTTTGTAATCGTTCCACGACTCGAGAGATCTTGTATGTGATCATCGTTTTGAATATGCGATCGGCATTCCTGGATCCATGTCAAGTGATTCCGTCCTTGGATCTGGCGACTATGAATTTACATTATAGAAGGAAAATTATCCCGCCTTTGTTACTTACCAGTGGTTTTGAGTAGGAAATATGAAATTCCGGTTGTTTGATTGATGGGATCCTTCTCATTTGGGTTTTGGGTTTCAGGATTCTCGATTTGGCTGCGTGTTTCATTAGCTATAGAATGTTTGAACGATGAAAATATACTGTTTATTGAATGTATGCTTGTATATGAACAAACTGTTACAAAGGTGAAACAAAAATGTTTGCCCCCCATTGATCCTACCAGTTCTTGTTGTGCGTTTATTGTTAATTTCTCTCAACAAAGATGCTTAAGCTGAAAAGATAAAGCTACTTCTCTCTGTGTTGTTGCCATTTTCTTCAGGATCTCTTCCATTGTGATGCCTGATATGAATGGATTACAGTTTTGCGCAATAAGCAGCTCGTGAAGTTGATTTGCTAATGAGATTAATGCAATCTAAGCATTCATGTCTAGGGTCTTACGTACAATTTTCAGATGTCTGTAGACAGTAGAAAGTATCTATAGAGCATGGGACGACTGTGGTTTCATGTGAATTTATCTTGATATACCTTTTCTTGGGTTGTGATATACTTGTATATTTTGATTTGAAACAGATCGAAACCTGGTGTAGCTGCCGTTGTTGCTTGTATGATGCCATTTATGCTTGGATTCTGTTTTCTGTGCCGTTCAATGGATTGCCTCTGGAACAAACAGCACCATTGCCCTCAGTGTGGGAACAAGGTAATTTGCTTTTGCCTGCAACTCTTTTGTTTTTACTCTTTATCCTTACTGTGTTTAAAGATTGTTCCATTCATATTGATCGATATCTCTGCAGGTTGCTGACTTTGAGAAATCAGATCCCTGCCTGGTGATGGATCCGCCACAGTGGAAGCAACCGAGTTTCGCACTCCCTGCATGATAAGATGCATTTCTTTCTTACTAATATTGCATGTGAAGTTTAGTCGTTCGGTTGCATGTGCCGAAGATATATATACAATAACCCTAAAAATGTGTGAGAAAATTAAGGATTATATATACTGTTCCAGTGATTCATGAATTGAACCGTCTAGTGTCTTTAACCCCTTCTTGGCTATGAAACAAGACTCTTCGCGTAGAGATTCTTTTGCCTCTTTAAAATCCGCAGGTAAGGATGGTGTGATGGCCGGATGGGCCGGTCCGGCATGATCTAAGCTAAGCCATGTTATGGCTCTGCTTTAAATATTTCGAGCTCTACTCTGGTTTTCGGTACGCATACCTCGGGCCAGCCCGTGGTTAACCTAGAAACTGCATAGGAAAATGATGGGTTCGTGGAGTTTACCCGACCAGTCGTGACAGGCGTTGAGTTAAAAACAGGGTCGGAACGTTTTCGAGTTTGCAGCTGTGCAGGGCCAGACCGGCCCACAGGGTTCTCTGGTCCTCTATCATAACAGCCCTACCATTAGTTTTTGCAAAAAAGTAGCCCTCCTTTTCAAGTTAGTAGTCCTCACTGCTCAAGCCCTCCTTTTCCAATGGGACCCGAAATTTCAACTCATTGTGAAACGGGCTCTCTTGAATTATCGCATTTCACTCTCTCGTATACTTGTTTAATGGACAACTTCGTTCTTGGCTTCTAAGGTGTGTACAAGGCTAAAAGGAAATATAGAAACTGTTGTTGCATAAGGCACAAAACCCGAATTTTCTTAACATGATCCCAAAAATTACCATGAAAACTTCGTGAATCAGACCGGGTAGCTTTGTGGTCATGACCGACTTTGTAAATTTCATGAGCCAAAAATAATTCCTAGTCATGACCGACTCTGTAAATTTCGTAGTTATAAGTTTGTATGATTGGTTGTGATTCTCAGACCCTAAGGCAGTAAGTATTCTGGTATGCTTCCCTCTCAATCGAGGTGTAGATTAATAGCAATTTCTTTAATGTTAAAAGTGAAGCATATAGTTCAAACTATTGAAGCATGTCTACTTATCAACTACAAAATACTTTATATTGCTTTTTGTTTTCTTTTCTTCCCTGTTGGCATAAATATGCCATCTGTTCTGCTTGGGTTTCACAAAAGTATTACACGTTTCTCTTATGGCAACATCAAGAAGTCATGTAAATAAATTAATCCTTGAGCAACTTGAATAAATTTTTGATTTTTTTTTCTTCTAATGGAGCTTGATAGACTGATAAACAGGGAGTTGCGTGCAAAGATGAAAAGGCAGAGGATTTGTAAGTGCAATACAGGTGTGCAACTGTAGTTGTCACCAAGCATATGCCTTGTCTGCTAGTTTTATTGTTCAAAAGCTTATAACTCTTCTGTTTTGTTGGAATCTGGGAACAGTAAGAGTTTGCCTCTTCAGCGTGTGAAGTGGCTTAATTTGTTAGGTTCTTTGGGACCATTTATATGTCTATCTATAGCAAGAATTTTTAACCTTTGATCAAGTTTTTGGGATTAGTCTTCGCTATAAAAGTATAATCATGCCTCAAAAAAGGGTCAATTAAGGAAGATACAACTGAATCTTTTAATGGGGTCCATGGTTTTACAATTTTTTCAAGAAAATGTGTAGGATTTGCTTAGAGATTGGAGAAAAAGGAGGACCACAAGAGGAAAGCTAAACATGTGATGTAAGTAAAACTGCTCCTATATCATACCCATTTGTTATTTGTCATTATGTCTCAGAAAGCTGAAGCTGATCCTCAAGCCACTCCCTCACAAGGGATTTTGCTTCTTCACACGCAACCTCTACACAAAATATCAAACACTATCTTTTTGAGTGTTTTTACCTATATTTTAATAATCAAGAAACTCCAAATCTTTCGGACTAAAATCTTCTCGTACCGGGGGGAACTACGATAGCATGGAAATTTTAGTTCTTTCTTCGTCTGTGGGATTCGAAGTCAGGACATGGTCTAGATCCCACAATAGATTTAACCGGTTAAATTACCAACTTTGGATTTTTTTTTATTTTTATTTTACATAAATTGTTGTATCCGACGGGTGATAAAATAGACATTGGGATGTGGTTGATGATGATACAAACTTTAAGTAATTATGGGATTTAGGTTTGTGTTGACATCAAGAAATGAATATGAGAAGAGAGTCACATCTCTAGTTTTGCTTAGAGTCTAGGCAACATGTCTTTGGGGACTGACCTCATCCTCTTCTTTTAAGTGCTTTGTAATAGGGCTTATGGGAACAGGCAAGAGCCATAAAGAGATTCTGGCTCTTAAAACCAAATAAAGAAAAAAATTGATCAAATAAATTATAAAAAGATTCTCGGTTTATCTGAGAGTTGCAAAAAGAAAATGGGTTTTTATTTCAGTTTGCTTACCCAACTAGGCTCTCCTTTGTTTTATGTAGATTAATTATGGTGTGGTGGTTGTGAGAGAAAAAAAAGGAAAATGATTGGTTTCAAGAGATTTATATTGCTTTTTTTGATGAATGATGATGATGCCTTTCTCCACCTTCGTAGTGTTTCTTGCGAAAATGTTCTTAATAATAAATCTCATCTAATATATAAATCTCCTCATTAATTTTCTCTCAATTTTGTTGGCTATTCTAATCGGAATGGTAAAACCGTAAAACCAATTGTCTGGGTCAATATTAGCTTTACATCAAGTTTGGTTCTTGTTTATAATTTGTGTTTATGTTTAGCAAAATTTTATTTGTGGTTGTTCTGGGGAAAATATGCATTTGGTTTTGCGTTTCATAGTTTCTCTTCAATGGGTAAAGTTTACGATTAATTTTTTTATAAAAGAACTATATTTATTCCGTTCATGCTCTTGCATTTAGTTTTACCATTTGCAAGTGTTGTGTGACATGTATAATTTGAGTATGTGTGGTAGAATTTTGCATTTAGTGTTTTAGTATGTGTGATAGAATTTGTGTTTAGGACTGCGTTAGAATGTTCTTTTTAAATAAAATAAATTGCGTTTGCGTTATTCAGCGTTCGCATCCGTATTTAGCATTTTGTTTGCGTGCAGCTTTGCTATGTTATTATGGACATTTTTGTTAGTAGTTTTACAACTTTCTAGAGATGTTTTCCTTTTCATATATAACTTGAAACATTAGGACAAAGGTAAAGTAAATCTAAGGTGAATATATATACATATTGAATGTAGTTGGTGGAAGTGACACATAAATATGCAATATATGAGTTATAGAAAATGGCGTGTGGGTAATGGATGGTTTGTGAAAGTGTGTGGGTCTCCCACGTCTCCCAAGTCGCAGCCCACTTGGAATTTTCTACAAATTTGAATTTCACGAAACACAAGTCAGCATTATACGACTCTTATTAACTCTTTCCACCTTCTCTTCCTTCTTTATTTTCTCCTCTTTCTTTAATGATTTTTTTTCGTGAATATACGTATAGGTGTTTTTGCTATAAATAAATAAATCTGTAAGCGGAGGCTTTATATATAATTATATATATACATGTCACAACCATGATCGTCACTGTGACTGCGAACTAGAGGAAAGTAGAGATGAAAGTCAGATATCATTATCGGACTACTATTGTATTTGTATCACTCTTATCGTGCCACTTAAATATCACGTATATTATTAGATATAGATATCAAAACAAATACTCTATTACGATATTTCTAATGAAAATCTATGTTGGATAACTACAAACACTAATTAAATTATTAAGTGAATGGTTATATAAGTATGGAAACTAGACAAGTAACCAGTTAACTAATTAAGCAGAAATACTGTTTTGTCATTTTAATGATTTATATACGCCACAGATGTTTATTCTCTTTTTATTTTTTAAAAATATTTTATTGATGAATCATTTTGTTATCATTGAAAGAATATTATATAATAGTTTATTTAAAATATGTGTATTATGGTGGTCTTAATTTAGTATATTATATCCCTATATAGAATCGGAGTCAAAGAAGTAACTTGTGGGGAAAACAGAACAAAACATTTGAACAAATCCACACTATCCACTATCTAATAGCAATAATGCCGTACGACGAATCCAAACGGAAATTTTCTCCTTGGGTCGGGAAAAATATTCTTTACCTTTCCTTGTGGCATACGGAACATAAAAAACAATCCTTAAATTTTTTAAAGATTGTAATAAGGTTGTTTATTAATTTGACTAAATCGATATCGATAATCACTCAGATGATTGGGATTGCTTGCAAGTACAAGAAATTCGCAACTATATGTTTACCACCACTAGTATCGAATATGTATGGACTAGTAAGAAAGCAAATATAGGATATTTATCGATGTAACTTAGTCTTGTTAATGTTATTTGCTTCAACTTACTTTGTTATTAACACGAATCAAAATGTACTAACCATTTTTTTTTCAAATATAATTTCTTTAAGAATTTTTTCTTATAAATAATATCGATTTATAGTTATATATATGATGTATAGAAAAATAAAATAAAAATTTGCTGTGTGATTTTGTCAATATAGGCTAGGCTTTCCAAGGCATAACAATACTGATGAAATTACGAGTTAAAAACATTATCTTACTTTAACGGAGTAGTTTCATTAATTTGATTATTTAATTGCGTAATTTTCTTTGGTAGGTTATGTGTCTCAACTAGGTCGAACACTCATCAGACCGTTACCTAACTTTTCAATTCAGTTTCGTAAGGCATAGTAATTCGATGGTGACAACAGTAACAGATGCTGTTGAAACAGGACTCAGTAACTCACTTAGAATGTTTTTTTTCTTTTTCGTATGGAGTAGGTTTGAAGATTGGAATGGAATCTTTAGTAGAGAGAGAAAGAGATTTGATCCCCTGCGAATATATCATCCTCGCGGAATTTGGTTCTTATTGGTGCTTCTTTGAAGCTCTTATGCTTGTTTCTTCTTTTTGCTCATAAAATAAGCAATATCTTTCCTTCTACTTTTTTTTTATTTGAATCGATTCTTGCATAAATTTTCCTTGTAGTCCTTCCATATTAGAATCCTATGACGACAGAGATTGCTTCTCCATATTCGTAAGAAAAAAATCGTTAAATATGTTGAGTTTCTATCTTTGTTCTGTTTACTCCTATAGCAATACACAAATAAAAACTATAATCAAGTTTAAAGAAGATTGAATACAAAAAAAAAGTGTCTTAAATTTGAGCTCATTTATTACAAATCAGTATATAATGGTTTTTCCAGATCTGTTTTTATTATTTTAAAACAGAAAACTATATATGTTTTTGTTATAAGACAAAAAAAAATATTTGTAATTTAATATCATTGGTACAAGTACAACCTATATATGAACTCTCGAGCATAAAATCATCGAAAATGAACCGATGCTATACAGATGAGATGGGTGGCTTCTTGCTTGAGCCCAAGATTGTACCGTATGGACATTGGAGTGGACCATTTTTTAGCTGATGCATGCATGTGGTAGTAGTCGAGGCCATATATGCATTCTTTTATGATCTAATTAATTAAACCATAGAAAAACAAAAATTAGTATATGACTGAAATTATATTATAATCTTTGTTAAGCAAATTTTCCTGTTCACTAAACTCGCTCAAATAAACGCATGAAAGCTTTTTCTCCTTTGATTATTTTTTATTGTGGTTTTCCATCATTGTAGACTCTGTAGAGTGACAAAGAGAGTGGAAAGTTGCAACTTCGGAATTCTCTCAACTATAATAAGATACCAATAATTATTTTATTATTATTGCCTTTATATTGAATGCTAACTATACATATACTTTTTTCTAGTAAAATACATAGCCCTTTGTAGTTTGTAAAAATAAAAGGAATCCCAAAAAAACTTACTAGTAGTTACAATCTAGGGAAAGAGTAAATCTAGACTTGGGCATTATTATAAGTGGGGACCTTGTTAAATCAGATCACATCATTGTAAACAATGAATAGTTTTTTTCCTTAAGATTTTGGTTTGAAATGTGTTAAAATTTATAATTGTGTAGTTTCCACCGAATAATTATGACCTTTTTGACATTAAAAGAGATAACTACTCATCACACTCTTATTACGTTTTCTGCACTTTTGACAAAAAGTTCTCTTTGACAGCCTCTCCGTGCCATTATTACCCTTTTAATTAGTTGTAATCCTCCATGCAAATATGTAATCATTCATATACACACAACTACATAAATACACCTAATTATATTCACACATTTTTATTAATAATTTCACGGTCACGTGCAGAGAGGAAATAATTTCAACTGTAATAATTTCTTCATTCATAATAATAATACACATACCTTTTTATTAATAATAACGAGATCGCTATAATTTTTAGTTTGAATACCTTAGTTTTTTTTGGGGGCATGGGATTGTCATGTCATGTCATGTAGAGAAAAACCCAAACCAACGTCTAATATGATATTGCTTCTTCTTCTTTTTTTTCCAAATATATATTTTCCGTTTGTGGTAGTATTTCCAAATAAAGTGTCTACCCTAAACTTTTACGATGACTTATAAAAACATACAGTATATTTATTGCAATAAGTGGACCGTTGCGAGAAGAATTGAGATTTTGGTAGGGAATAAAAGATAAAATTTAACTAGTTTACGAAATCATATATATAATTTTTTTAAACGAAACGAAAGAGAGGACAAAGATTCGTTTTCAAGCAAAAATGGAAAAAAAGGAAGGAGAGTCGTATTAATATTAAATTATTATAATAATTATTAAGATAGTCAACATTAAAATTAAATTAAAGATTGTTTCTGAAACTATTGCAACTACTAGTCTCTTCATCAGAAGAGAAGATCTCCGTCGTGAGTCCACTTGAAGCATGATCGGAAGATGGAGAGCTCGGCAAAAGGTTCAAATCCGTAGTCCTTTCTTTTCTCATGAAATCGAAGAAGATTGGTTTGGTTTTATCGTCGGTTTGGTTTGTCGTAATTATTTCAATTTGGTCACTCGAATTATTATTATCACTACTATATCTCAGATTCCGGTTATCTCCGTCGTCGTCGTCGCTCTTGTTACCGGCTCTCTTCTTGAGGAAGATACGACAAAGAACCCAGTTCTGAATGGGGCCCATGGAGCTCTGGAGAGAAAAAATGGAATCTACTAAATTTAGTGGAAGTTATTAAATAATGAAGAAAACCGGAAATTGAGAGTAGAGAGAAACTGTACCGGAGGAGAAGAAGAGAGGCGATATTCGTGCATGATCCAGTCGGTTCTTGAGCCATGAGGTGGCTTGCCTTTATAGAATACGAGTGTTTTCTTCAACCCAACGATTTGATTTCCTCTAGAGGTCACGACCCGTTTATCTATACCAGTAGCTTTCCAATAACCGGAGCCGGTTGCCCGGTTAGACCGGTTCCCATTTGGGTACTTGGCTTCCCTTGTGCTGAAGAAGTACCTCTCCTTCTCCAAATTGCCTGCAAACATAATTTAGTCTAAGGTCGCCGGTTCGAGACCAAAAGTTGTTGAAAAACTACTAATTAATTGTAGCAAAATTAAAGACTAACCAGGTAAGTCCCAAGGATCAGCTCTGCAAACATCAAAATCAGGAATGATGGAAGCTGGTAAAGGAGAAGAAAGGACTTTTCTCTTGAGATACTGAACCACGAGCTCCTCATCAGTGGGATGAAATCTGAATCCAGGTGGCAATCTAAGAACACCATTCTTCACGAGTTTAACCTTATCCATGGATCCAAACAGAGGAGAAAGAGAGAGAAGGATGATGAAGAAGAAGAAGAAGAGAGTGCGGTGTAGGAAGAGGGAAACAAGGATGGTGTGTTTTTATAAGGTAGAAGACGATACGAACAACTCCTTTTCTTTATTATTATTTATTTTTTGTTTTTGGCGTAAACCATACTCAATCTCCTTCCTCCTTTTGACGCCATTTTCATAAATCTATCTTTTTCCTCTTCTTCTATTTTCTTTTCTAATATTCATTACTATATTTCTTGTCTCTCAATTATTATTATTTTTGATAGTCGGTATCTACCTCCTCTCTCTTTTTTTTTTTTTTTTGTATCTTTCATCTGTAAAGTGTAAACTCTTCAAACATAATAATTTTCTTTTACTATAAATAATTGTATACTATATACAAATGAAAAGGACTACTTTATTAAAACAGCAACAACAACTCCATTTTCAATTCGTTTGAAGAAATTATAGCGTAATCATACACTCAAACAAAACAACAACGTGGAAGTGAAAATATTCTTTTTACAGCACACATTAACCAACCGAAGTCGTCCATCTTCCAACTTTGCTTGTTTGGGTTTAAATGAAGAAATAGTTTTAGATTCATACCATTTTCCCCTTTGGGTATTATACTCAAGGGGCAATATCGTCATTTTACAAGCTTTCGGCTTGAAAGAGTACTCCGGGAAGGTTTTTAATTGCGAAGGCGGGTCCGTTTCGGGCCAGTCGTGGATAAAGCGGTGACGATGAGGTCAGCTTATGTCATGCTGACAGCCGGAGATCGCCCTCCTGCGTTTGCACGTTTACATATGTATAGGCCTTTTTGAGATTCTAAATTTAAAACAAATGCCACCGATACTTAAAATTGGATACTAGGATAACTTTGTTTTTGATGAATTATGTGAACAATTTATTTATTTTTTAAAAAATGAGAGAGGATTTGTCTGGTAGTTACGACTAATGAGAGAGGGAGGGGGAAGGAATCGTAAGCCTCTGGTATTGTTGGGCAAGGCTTCCCGAACCACGATAATGTTTTCTGCAATGTTCAACACGTTACATGCAAGTCCAATATCGATCCATATTTTTAATTACAACCTTATATACATATACTTTATAGCATGACATATAAGGATAGTTATCCTACGTGATTCACCAAACACGGTTCTCATACAATAAAATCGAAATACTGGCTTGAAAAAAAGTCATCTCCTGATTTGGGAATTACGCATCTTAATCAGGGACGTGTAGTTTTACTTGGAACTCATTTTTGAAAATTTTAGATATCAAAAAAATAATCATCTTACAATGTTTGTCACCATCATTATTAATAATTTTCCCAAAATATGTAATAATATGCAAGTATTGATCAGTTTCATAGATATGGATATATGCTAGTGAAATAGGAGAAAGCTAAAGATGGACATCAACAAACATGTTAAATAGAAACGAGAAATGCTTCGAAGTTCGAACACATGACTTGGTCATGCTCCTCCCTCACCGGCTTCCCCACGGGCTCTCCAAAGTTAACTGGTAGAGAAATGTTTGTTGACTGTTTTTATTTATTTTTAACTTTACACTTTATCAAATAACTATTCATTTTTACGTTTTTGTCCATTCAGACTACCTCTAATACCTTCATTAAACTCATAAAATTGGACATATATTTGTTATATGAAAATAAATGGGAAGTGTTCATTGTGCATACATCATACATGCATATGTACAGTTGTAAGGACGAATAAGGAGAGTATATTATAAGTGATGGGCACACAATATATCATTTATATATTTGCTCCATTATCCCTCTAAGTGCTTTTCCCTCGTGTTGTGGGGATTGGAATTTGTAGTTCGTTGTTCTTCACTAACGCAAGTATTTCTCCTTTTTCGTTACATAATCTATTTATCCAATTATTATTTATAGTTTTAAGAATGATATTATTTATATAAAAAGATAGCAATGAGTATGAATTACTTGATATATTCCGTTATTCCATTTTATGGAGTGGGTGCTTATTTATCAATGTTTTAAATTTTTCAGTGTATGGACATAAATTAGTCCCAAAGAGTTTTTACATAATTGAAAACTAAAAAAGCACATGCCCCTTGGCTAAGTAATAGACATATCAATCTTAAATATTAATTATTGACAACTCAAACCACCACCAAAAGAAGAAATTATGGAACTCCTCCTAGTACTTGATAAACCAATATCTGAAATATCCCAGACAAGTCAATGGTTTCCTACAAAGTGAAAGAACAAAATATATACGTATGTATATAAATTCGAGCACCAACTTGATAATTAATGGTGTATGGACCATGCCCTGCCCCTGCATATATTACAGACCAGTGAGACAACAATATCCATGTATAATATATATACACATAGTATATATATAAGAGAGATTTCAAGGACCGGCAACAAAATAAGCAATAAAAATGCAGTTTAATAATTAAAAATGAATTCATGTAATTCTAGATAAAATAAATTAAAAAATCAATGTCAAGGGGTCCGTGAAGCTGACAGTGTGCTGTAAGTTCCTCCAATCCCGTTGTCAACCTTCCTGTTTGTATAGATCACATGAAATTTTTCTTTATATATTAAATAAAATAAAATGATCGATTTCGTCCAAATATATGTTATCTTTAAAATAACAAAGGCGTGACGTTATTGTCGGTATAATAATATTCACTATCGACACTACAAGTTACCTCTATATTGAGACCAAGGATTAACAAAATATATACATTTAACATATTATATCATGGTTATTAAGGATACCTTCGTCGCTGTTATATTAAAAGTTAAAACGATAACTTCCACTATTTTAGTTTACTTGAATAGAATAACATAGTCTTATACTGCCAGTCGTTTTCGACGATCTAATATGATATGAGATTCACGAGAAAATAAGGTACTTTATATATATAATATAATGTATGTATGGCATGTACCTGGTTTATTTTACGATTGATTATCATGTTTTAGTTCCACAGCTGATCTCTTGGTTGGCAATTTATACTATTATTATTATGATGGATATAAACTTCTTAAAAATGATCTATACGTACTTTAAGAAGTTAATATCTACGAAAGAGCTAATTCTTGTAAAAGAAATTTGGAAAATATATGCAGTTATGTGCTTTCGTATCACATTTTGAAATTATTTATCAGATGCACTACGATAATATGTCAGCTAACTTGAAAAAATAATTGTAATTAAATATTTCTTAAACATCATCATGCACCCGTTGACACACCAAAAAAAACTCATGTATAAGCTACTACCATTTTAAAGCTTTTCATAGTCGATGTGAATGCGAGTTTATCCGTAATGAAATACATAATTTACATATACTTTTCTTGGTTGTTGTAGATAACATGCATTATATTGTATAGATTAAAATATTAGTGTTAATCTGATGACAACACTATTTAGTATTTACGTATGGTTTTGTAGTAATACTATGCGTACCGTATGATGAGGGGGTATTAATGTGAATAAGGGGATGAAGGTGGACGAAAAGGATAATAAAAGAGCGAAGGGTCCTACGTGATTCCAAAACGACAGCCTCACACGTCGGATTGAAGTCCCGGAGACACAAAATGCAATGCAACCAAATCATTTCTCATCTCTCCCTCTCTCCCGATTTCCCAAATCTTCTTTGTCTCAAATTTTCTAATCACATTCAATGAATGGTCCCTTTCCAAATTGACAAAAATACCCTCTCATATTTTCAACGACCTATTTTATTCGCAATTTCCTAAATTTATTCAAAATGATTGATTTATTGATTTAAAATAAATTTTGTAAATTATTTTTAAAAAGAACAAAGAAGTCTCCAGTGATTGAGTCTCAGAGACAACCTAATTATCCAATCGCGAACCATTTCCGCTCTCCCAAAAACGAATCTGTAGTATATTTATAGGGTTACATGGAATATGGCCATATGGGTGAAATTTTTTAAAATAATGGGTCTCGAGAGACGAAAGAAGTAAATATATTGATTATTACAGTCAAGAAAAAAAAATGAAATTTGGGACAAAATATAGATAAGAGATTCCCACAAGCAAAAAGAAAAAGCGAGCACACACACGCACCCCACTTGCGACTTAGTCATCAATGGTCTACATTTAGAAATATCAAATTAGGATTCCGTAAGTAATAATATTGCGGCTCCGTTTTTTTTTGTTTCTTACTATTTTATTTAAAAAAAAATGTCCTTCACTTGGTATTAAAACAAATTTCATATGTAGTTTAGGCGTACCGTATAATAATAAATGTGTACTATGTAAAAATGCGTGTGACGGTGTGAGAGCGTCAACGAAGTTTGCGTGGGGATGTTGGAGAGAAAGTTAGAAAAGTCAAAGGGTGCAACTATAACTAAATGGTTTTGATTCCCAAATATGCTTAATAGTAACTCTAATTTCAGGTACCATGGTCTAGTGGTTTTGAAACCATAGAACTTGTTTTCGTATATAAACGACATTTCATACTCAAAAAATGGAAGAAACAATTATATTGAAATATGTTTTTGTATAAAAAAACTCATAGTGTTTTATTGAACTATAGAGTTCATTGAAAACAATACGTTTGAAGGACGAAAATTAATGTATAAATTGTACTCCAAACGCGCGATGATGATTGTATAAAACTAATTGTCGGCCCAGTTGGAAGGTTTCCTATACTTTGTTCAGAGATCCAACTAAAATAAAATAAAAAAAACATGTAATGATTTATTACCCCTGCATATAAAATCACGTACAAGCAATCATAAGCCATTCATAGTATTAACGTCTATCTAAGGATGCAAATAATATCCATGTGATTTGTTTGAATTAGTTGGTACACATTTCTACATGGATTTTGTACCGAAATTCATTGTAATCGATTTCATTATAATTATATAATTATTGATCCTTTTTCTCGAAAAATTATTATATAAAGATCGATCACATAGTTAGGAAATGTTTAATTCATAAATATTTCTGATCATCTTGAAAAAAAGATAACTTGTTTTCGTATATTCACGTGATTAATTAATTGTTTGATTTCAAAGGATTATATTTTGATGTCCCTTAACAAAGTAAATCAGAACTAATAAGGTATATGAATTGAAGAAAGCACATCATATACACCGTTTGAAAAAAAAACTGCTTGGTTTAAAGCATGTTTCTAGAATCAAATAAGTATATATATATATATATATATATATATTCTGTCGACAAATCAAAATATATATATTGAAAATTCGAAGTCATCACTCATAATCGATACCAAAGTTGACAACAAATTATGTTATATATTTAATGTATTTAAGGAGGAGCTAGG